CCGGCGGTTGGGTTGTTTTGACCCAGCTATCGGGTTTTTTTGACCCAGCGGTTGGGTTCAAAACAACCCAACCGCTGGGACAAAACAACCCAATAGCTGGGTTTGTCCCTTTTTAACCCACCGCTGGGCTATATTTAACCCAGCATGTTTTAGAGTGTACAGTTTAAAAGTTTGTTGACTGAAAGATTTGTGTCCCTTCTGCTCTCCAAGGCTGCATTTATTTGATCAAAAATACAGTACAAACAGTAAAAATGGTTCAATATTATTGCGATTTCAAATACGTGTTTTCTATGTGAATATCTGTTAAACTGTAATTTATTTCTGTGATCAAAGCTGAATTTTCAGCATCATTACTCCAGTCTTCAGTGTCACATGATCTTCAGAAATCATTCTAATATGCTGATTTGCTGCTCAACCAACGTTTCTGATTATTATCAGTGTTGAAAACAGTTGTGCTGCCCAATATTTTTGTGGAAACTGTGCTACTTTTTATTTTTCAGGATTCTTTGATGAATAGAAAGCTCAAAAGAACAGCATTTATTTGAAATAGAAATCTTTTGCAACATTACTGTCACTTTTAATGCATCCTTGCTGAACAAAAGTATTAATTTCTTTCCAAAATATATGTCTGACCCATTTTGAACAGTAGTTCACTCACAAATCTGCTTTGCATCAGACCTCCACCTGCACTATATAAAATTCGCATGCACTTGTGTACTTTAGCCTCAAGAGGGCGCTGTTGCAAACGAACCCTAAAAGCCCTATTTTTTATGCTTATTCATTGTATGTGTGTTGTGAGGTTTGATATGCAGATGGTCTCCATCCAGTGTGTCTGATTAGATTATTCGGCCAAAATGAAAAAATCAAAAAGCCAAAATAGGATTTTTTTTGTTATATTCGAGATAATTATGTCCTACCACTCCCTGGATTAAACAAGTAATGCAGTAACGTCACATGATAACAATGTAGCTGCTGTTTGAAATGTTTATCATTACATAATGCATAGTTTCACATATTATTAGGCCTGAAATATACTCTTATCAAGTACAGTAGATACTGCCACAGGAACACATGAAGCATTCATAAACTGTATACAGCACATACTGTGCATTATGCAGTTTTCAGTACTCTATTCCAAACACACTCTGGTCTTTATATTGGTGTGGTTATTTTTATCTGTCCCCTTTTACCTTGGGAGTGTCTGTTTCTCTGTCACAGACCTGTGCAGATGACCTATTTTACAACACTGCCATTGTTTTGTCTGGAGAGGAAGAGCAGGAAAGCTATACTGTAGGTCTGTGTGTGTGTGTTCAAGAATTAAGCAATCAGTACAAGTAACAACAAGCATTATCAAGAGCATGCATGACTAGAGAGTCAATAAATGCATTTATTTTCACAAGAAAGCAGTGTTTGTCCATGCAAAATTCACAAGTGCAATGCTAAAGTGTTGCATAAGCTTTTGAAAAGCTGTTTTGAACGGTGTTATCACGCGGTTGCTAGGGTACTCTGGTTGGTTGCTAAGGTGCCGGGTGATGCGTGCTTTAGCAAACTGCTCTAAAAACTGCTTGGGAAAATAGTGTTGCGATGCATTTGCTGCCACAGAGGAACTTCATCTCTGTCACGCATTAGGAATGTCTCGCTCCTGGGAATTGTGCTTTTTCTGGATTACAAAAAGATTTCCTCCGTTTCCTAATTCATTCGGCAGGCCTGAGGGTATTCCACGTCACGAACCGGTGTTTTACGTCCTAGTTTTCTTTTAAACTGGCTGATTGTCAGGTGTTTTCCCCACAGGGTGGTTTAACAGTGTTTTCATGATGTTGTTTAAAGAGCAAAGAGCCCATGAAATCACATTTGGAGTTTTGTGAAGAGGGAGAAACAGAGAGATCCAAAGGGTGTTCCCAGTCAAAACTGACTTGCCTTTTAAAAACTGCTTGTAAATCTCCAAATATTGCATTCGATCTTATTATTAGCTTGTTTTCTTTCAGTTAGCACAGTATTTCTTTTTGGAGCTGATTGATCACAGGCCTATTGGTGTGAGATAAAATAGCATAACAATTTTTTAGTACAAAAGTTTTTTGGGAAGTTGTGTATGTATATTGCTATATCTCGCTTCTATTATACACTACAAAAACATTTGTAAAGTACAATTTTAAGTATTTTTCATGTTTATATGTTTTAATTTCTTACATTACTCATACTAGTATCAATTGGTCTATTGGTTTGTAATCAATATTAAATGTGTTTCATCGGGGAATTTGGATGAAAGAATCCCAAATCTCTAATATCTCAGTTGTTTCTCTATAAGATTTAATGGCGAGGAAATGGAGACTCCTGCTTCTCAGATGTTTCTCCTGAGAAACTGACTGCAGAACTCAATGTCTCAAACTGTGCTCAGATTTAACACCAAAATCGAAGACATGTTTGTCTGCAAAGTCAAAATCCAAATTTCCGTCTCTTTATTCTTTGGATTTTAAGCCGAGTGTCGTCTTGCAGATGGAAAATCAAAGACTTGTTTGTTTGTTTACGGAAAGAAGCTTTGGGAATCAGGAAGTGGACTGCTTAATGTCAACACAACGTGTCCAAATGTGCCTTTGAAACGGGCCTGCGTGCGTGCTGCTAATGCTTTCACTGAGATTACACCGCTGAGAGAAACAGGTGAAGATGAGACGAGGCAGAGCGTCTGAGAGCAGATAACAGGACAGGATCAAACAGAAGAAAAACACACAGTGACAGAAAGACTGGAGGAAAACAGCCTGACACGAACACAGAGGAGCTCAGAGAGAGATTCAGAGTCAGAGGAGACTCTCACCAAAGCTGTCGAGAACACGTCTGGCTCGTATTTTACCCAAAGATCAAAGGAAAGAAATCAAGAAATGCGAAAAATGCAACTTAAAAGAAGAAATTTAAGCATATTTTAAGACCCAATGTTATATATTAAAATATTATTTAAAAAAATTTATTTTGACTTTTGTCTTGTAGTTTATTTTATTATTGTGATTGAAATTTAAATCAAAATTCAGTACAGTTGTTTCTATAATTGCAGCAATGTGAATTCTCATTCGCATTGTAATTTATTTGGATATGACTAAAATTAAATGAAATAAATGTTACAATTATATTAATAAATATTTATGCAAGTATACTTTGTGTTTTGCATTGTGACAGTTAACCACATTTCTCCACAATTGATCATTTCCATTAGTGCATCGTGAAAAACTTTGATATAGCGCTTCAATAATAAAGTACATTAGGGTACATGTTTTACCAAATGTAAATAATTTTGATTTTGAATTCAATTACAATAATAAAATAAATTACAACACAAAAAGACAAATTACATTCATATTTTTCATTTTAAAATAATTTTACAATTATGACAATAATATTTTTCTTGTTGAGGTAAATTAAAATGCAATTTTTAGAATTAAAATTTTAAATATGTTCATTTTAGAAATAATCTAATTTGAGTAATTGTACAATAACGACAATAGTTACAAAAAAATTAATTTTTTCTTGTTGAAGTAAATGAAAATGCTATTACATTAATATTTTTCATTTTTGAGCAAGTTTACTATAAACTACAATAATAAGAATGAGAATTACAATTGTTTTTAATAGTACAGTACAATTATAAAGTAAAAAATAATTTGAACTGAATTTAATTCATTTTTATAAAAATAAATTACAATACAAAAAGTAAAATTACATGAATATTTTTCATTTTAAAATCAATCGAATTTAATTTGAGTAATTTTTCAATAATGACAATAATTTAAATAATGAGATTTAATAATGATTTCCTTGTTAAAGTAAATAAAATGCTAAAAGATAATAATATTTCTCATGTAACAGCAATAAGAAAGTTTTTTTTTGTTCCACAGTCTGTGTGTGTGTGTGCGTGTATGTATGTGTGTATATATATATATATGTGTGTGTGTGTGTGTGTGTGTATATATGAGAATCTAATAGATGGATATGTGCTTAATTGTCATGAAAATAATATCACAATGCCTTTCAGCCTTCATTTTCTTTACCTAAAAACCAACTTTCATATTTCTTTCCTCTGGGTTTGTGGTGAATCTCGAGCTGGTCATTTGTTCGTGCGATTCACCCATGCAGAGATAAATGAAAGGAGAAAGAGAGAGCACAGGGAAGAGATGAAGGCAGACAGCTGTGTTTTTGTGTTGCTATTTTGAGCGTCTGGCCGCTGCTCTACTCCCCTGGTCTGGCCCGGCCTATTTCTGTCCTGGGCTGGTCCTGCTGCTATTCTTGGCACCTGAGAGAGAGCGAGAGAGAGAGAGAGCGCAGTTAGGAAGAGTAACAGAGAGAGAAAGCGTGAGAGCGTGCTTCAGTTTCCTGTGCAGAGGCTGAGAGGCAGTAACAGTGTTGAGCTCCTCACCTGTGACGTCTCCTCGCTCATCTACCTGATGAAACCCAGCAGGGACGGCTAGAAGAACTCACAGAAGAAGCACAAAGAGGCTGGGAAATCCCCGAGGGACTCCGCACAGGAGCAGAGGCCGCTGAGAGCGCGTGGAGACGTTATGCTGCAGACCATTTATGAATCTGACTCCAGCATCAGCGCAGAGTGGAGGAGGAGACGCCTGGACTCTCACAGCACAGCCATCGCTACAGGTACAATACTCGCAACAATCTATCAGACGCTCCTCTCAGAATTCCAATGATGGAATTCCGTCTGATACAATGTTGCAATGTTTAACAAATGAGTTGTTGTTGATGTTCAATCGAGGTGCTTTGTCAGAAGCAAGTCTCCATTTGCTCTCATTGCTGTCTACACACACTGTCTCATTTTCCTGTACAAATATGAAAACATTCTTAAATCAAGATATATTAAAAGGAGAAGCAAAATGACATAAGATATAAAGTCTCGTTTTCGGAAAAATCGATCAAAATGAAGTCAATTTACTCTTAAAAATGCAAATGGGTAAGAAAAATAAGACAAATCATTCCTTTGAATTAAGTTTATTTTTCTTAACTCAAGTGGGAGATTTTTTTCTTCTTTTTTTTGGTTTAAACACTTCATTTTGTTATGTTTTCAGACCATTTTGTATATAAATGTATATTTAAATATGTTTATTTTTGCTAAGGAATTTTAGGAGAAACGACTTTTTAGGAGTAACTGAGACACATTTTTTAATTCTTAATATTAATGTGATTTAATGTATGGAATTAATGTAATGTATATAATTTAAGTTATATAATAATAATAAATATAATAATTATAAATGCATATAATAATAATAAAAGTATAATAATAATTGTTTTTGTACAAAATAAAATAATATATTAGATTTAATATTTAACATTTAAAAACATTTTTTTAATGAATGCAAATGGGTAAGAAAAATAAGACAAATCATTCCTTTGAATTAAGTTTATTTTTCTTAACTCAAGTGGGAGATTTTTTTCTTCTTTTTTTTGGTTTAAACACTTCATTTTGTTATGTTTTCAGACCATTTTGTATATAAATGTATATTTAAATATGTTTATTTTTGCTAAGGAATTTTAGGAGAAACGACTTTTTAGGAGTAACTGAGACACATTTTTTAATTCTTAATATTAATGTGATTTAATGTATGGAATTAATGTAATGTATATAATTTAAGTTATATAATAATAATAAATATAATAATTATAAATGCATATAATAATAATAATAAAAGTATTGTTTTTGTACAAAATAAAATAATATATTAGATTTAATATTTAACATTTAAATTTTTTTTTTAATTAATTTATTAAATTAATTTAAATTACCAGTAACGAGAATGAGACATTTGATTACTGAAATGTGAAAAACTTTGATATATTGCAATATAAAAAGTAAAATTACATTGATATTTATGATTAAAATGATCATTTACAAATCAGCCTTGTCTCAGATGTTTCTTCTAAAATTCTCTAGAAGGAAAAAAAAGACAAATAGTTGTTATGTATAAGAGAACATAAAATGAGATTATGAGAGCAACTCAGATCATTTGCTCTTGGGAGTTGTTGATGAGAAATGTTTGAGTTCATTTGGAGATTTCTGCTGTATTTGTGATGTGAGTAATGGGGAATTTCCCATCAGTGTGTGTGTGGATGATTCAACAGCTCTCAACCAGGTCAAATCTATATCCAGACATCACTGAGAGCTTCATGTTTGTTTCATTGTTTGATTTTTACAAAAGCAAGTGACTCGCTTCACTGAATCAAAGCAGGTTTCCATCAGACGCTCACCTGTTCATCAGGCCTGTTTCAGGCTTTATTCAAATCCAGCTGTAGGTTTCTGATCTCAGATCAGTAGTATCCTCATAAATCTTGATTCATTTAAGGAAGCTGGACTCAAACAAACTCCCTTTTGCTTTTAGCAACTAATGTTAGCTTACTAAGTATATACTGCAAACTAGCTAAAAAACACACGTATTGTAGTATGAATTGTGCAGTGATAAACATTTGAATCAGTAGCTTGCTAAATTGTCACATTATTATAAGAGTGCCAGTTATTTTGTATTTTGAATGTTTACAAAAGCAAGTGACTCGCTTCACTGAATCAAAGCAGGTTTCCATCAGACGCTCACCTGTTCATCAGGCCTGTTTCAGGCTTTATTCAAATCCAGCTGTAGGTTTCTGATCTCAGATCAGTAGTATCCTCATAAATCTTGATTCATTTAAGGAAGCTGGACTCAAACAAACTCCCTTTTGCTTTTAGCAACTAATGTTAGCTTACTAAGTATATACTGCAAACTAGCTTTAAAAAAAAACACGTATTGTAGTATGAATTGTGCAGTGATAAACATTTGAATCAGTAGCTTGCTAAATTGTCACATTATTATAAGAGTGCCAGTTATTTTGTATTTTGAATGTTTTTTTATTTTTAAGCAAAACCATCTTAACTTTTGGTGTGCATGTTAAAAATGAGTCAAGCAGGAGATATTAATAGGCTGGCATTACTTCTGGTTCATTCATCACACTGGAAATGAAAGGTCAAGTTGAGCACATTGCATTGTGGCATACTACCTCAAGCAAAGTGCTTTGTTGTATACTAAGTTTTTGCAAATGTATTCATTCATTTAGTTGTTCTGTGAATAACAACATTTGCATACATGCTGCACTGCAAAAATGATTTCCTTACAAATAAATGTATCTTGTTTTAAGAATTGTAGGTACTTGTAAAGGAAAACAAGACAAAAATACTTTCTGCAGTGTAGTAAGAGTAAGACGCTAGTATGCTTCTAAAATATCTATTGATTATTGAGTCCGGCAGCTTGTCAGTGACAGATTTCACTCACTGAGCTTTGAACAGTGCAGTGATGTGATCTGGACTCTGCTTTTAGCATGTGCTATCTGTGAGGTGTTTGTTTTCTTCAGAAGTTCCTCCAACTGTGTGTCTGTGTCCCATTTAGCATATATTTCTACTATGCACTAATGTTTGTACTTTTTTTCTACAACTGAAAAAGTCGAAAGTGATTTTGATCTTCTGTAACGCATGGGATTGTGTGTAAAAGCAGCCCCAAAAGCATATAAAGTACAAACAGTTGGATCTAGGCATTTTTAGCATACTATTTTCATACAAAGTGATTTGGAATGCACAAATTATAATCTTGCATACTATTTAGGATGGATAGTATGCAAACTGGGAAACAACTAATGAATTAAGCACAATAAACTACTGTTCAGTAAGATTTATTTACTTTGAAAAAAGTCTCTTCTGTCCACCAAGGCTGCATTTATGTTGATCAAAAATACAGTTAAAAACAGTAAAATTGTGAAATGTTATTACAATTTCAAATAACTGTTTTCTATGTGAATATCTGTTAAAATGCCATTTATTCCTGTGATGCAAATCTAAATTTCAGCATCAGTGTCACACGATCCTTCAGAAATCATTTTAAAAATGCTGATTTGCTGCTCGAGAAACTTTTCTGATTATTATCAGTGTTGAAAACAAATATTTTTGTGTAAAACGTGATACATTTCATTTTTCAGGATTCTTTGAGGAGTAGAAAGTTCAAAAGAACTGCATTTATTTGAAATAGAAATCTTTTGTAACATTACAAATGTCTTTACCGTCACTTTTAACGAATAAAAGCATTCGTTTTGAATGCTAAACTTCTGAATGGTAGTGTACTGTCAAGTCTAATCAGGGCTTAGCAGGTGGATGCGTGTTTACTTCATACTTGATTTGTCATTTCTAAGAAACATCTTTTGACAAGTGTGTTGTGTTGTGTTCAGGTGTGTTTGTGCGCGCCGTCCCACTTTAGGAATGGCGTGAGAGGGCAGTTATTTACCCCTCTGTGCCTCTGCGCTCCGTTACTGCCCGCGGCTGCATGTTGAACGTTCTGGCCTCTTGACTTCAAGCTCGACTATTCTTAGCCACCGTATTTTGGGCTTAAGGCATTAGGATGCTAAGATTAGCCCCGGTTATCATTCCGTCTGAGTTAACTCCTCACACAACTACATACCGGAAGGCTTTATTTATAATGCACTCTTTTCTCTGTTTTTTAATAACAGCAGGAGAAAAAAAAAACATGAGATGTTTTCGAACTGAAGATTTTAAAAGTCAGGGAGTTGCGTTCATGCCTCTTTTATTGCATTCAGAGTGCATGCTGCAGTATTTTTGGTGTCGATTGACACCTTTGGCCAGTGTTGTGGTTCTGTTTTGGTGGTCTGTGCTTTTTGCGGCCTGTGTATTCTGGGCCGGGGGCCCGATGGAGTCTTTGTGGCGAGAGATGGTTTCACAACGCCACGGTTTTTATTTCAACGCCTGAACGTGGATGTGATGCCGATATTCTGAGTCAAATGCTGCAACTGTCGCCTCTTACATAGTTAGCCTCATAACCTATCATCAAAGAATAACTGTGTGCAACCAGACGAAGGTTTCATTGCAGCGAGGATTTTCTTTCATAGCTCAGGAGACTTCATGGACAGCTCAGTTAGGGTTTAATAAAGAATCAACTTTGTCTCAGATTTTTCACTTAAAATTCTTGAGGAAAAATAAAAATAGGCTCAAGAGAGAGAATTATTGACATACTGTAAGAGTATAGGGATAAAGTATGAAATTTATGAGTTCATATTGAGATTTCAGCCTTGTCAAATCTGAGCACATCGAGATCTCTTTTGTATGGAAGCCCAATTCCCACCAAATAAGATGATTTGGTAAATCATAATGATTAAAATGGCATAATTATGACATAAAAATAATGAGATGTTTTGAAAGTTAGTTTTATCTTTTTTTTTTTATCTCATATGTCATAATTATGAGATAAAAAGTCAAAATTATGACATTAAGTCAATTATGAGATAAAAAAGTAGAAATTATGACTTAAGTCATAATTATGAGACAAAGTCACAATTATGACATACTAAGTCTTAATTATGAGATAAAAAGTCTAAATTATGACAATAATTAATTTAATTAATAATTAATAAATTATGAATTATAATAATTATAAATTAAAAGTCTAAATTATGACAATAATTAATTTAATGAATAATTAATAAATTATGAAAAAGTCTAAATTAGGTCAATTATGAGATAAAAAAGTAGAAATTATGACAATTATGAGACAAAGTCACAATTATGACACTAAGTCTTAATTATGAGATAAAAAGTCAAAATTATGACATTAGGTCACAATTATGAGATAAAAAGTCAAACATATGATATATTAGGTCATAATTATGAGATAAAGTAGACAAAGTAGATATTTTGACACTAAGTTATAAATATGAGATAAAAAGTCAAAATTATGACATTCATAATCTTAATTATGAGATACAAATTTGAAATGATGACTACTAAGAAGTCATAAATATGAGATAAAAAGCCAAAACTATGATATACTAAGTCATATTATGATAAAAAGTCAAAATTATGACATACTGTCTTAATTATCATATAAAAAGTAAAAATGAGGATGTACTAAGTCATGATTTTAGTCAATCTCCACTTTAAGTCATAATTTAGACTTACTTTCTCATAATCAATAATACTTTCTCACTTTGTTCCCATAATGTTATGTCATAATTTCCATTTTTGAGATTACTGGGGTCTTTTCTTCACGAGAAACTTCTTAGAAACAATTGAGAAACTGATACTGATACTAAAAGAGATCAAATATATCCCGTTGTTTTTAATTTCATTCTTATGGCTGAGTTTGTGGGCCTGATAAAGAACACATGAGGAAAGCAGCACATGCACTAATAGTTTTATTAGCAAGGAGTTTGTTTCGGGCAGCAGATTAAGAGCATGTTTACGAGTGAGTTTTTACAGCGTAGCTTTTTTAAGGCACGAGGCCAGATCGTTCTCTCTCTAAACACACACACACATACTACACACATACACGGCAAACGCCTCACCGTTTCGTTCACATGAGTAAAAATACATTAAGTGCAGCTCAAATGTGACAGTCACATGCTGTCTCGCTTTAGATTGAGCTCAAATAAGATTTGGGCCTCGAACAGGAGGTTGTTGAAATACCTCCATGTTTATGCTCGAGGCATTTGAAATAGACCCCATAAAAAGACCCTCCCTGTGTAGATTATGCCTGTAATTGCCCTTGGGTTTATTTAAAGACCTAAAGACAGGTTTCATTTGTCGTTTTCAAGCAGCCAACACCGCAATCCTTCATTTCTGACACAATCAGTTTGCAATCTGTATGAGCATTACCTGGGGGGATTATTTTGCCCAAAATGATCTCAGATAAAGGCAAAGGAAATGTGAAGCAATCGTTACAAGCTCACTTTTGTCAGAATGTGTCAGAACACAATTCATAATGCAATGCAAGTTTGTGTATATTATTGTAAACTGTCTCAGTTTCAGGTCGACAGCTGTCATGGTGGAGCAACAGTTCGAAGAGAATCTTGATGAGCAATTTAGTTAAAGTTAGTTAAACTGTTGACATGTTTATATCTAATTACCAGAAGGTTGTGGGAGATGCAAGTTGCCTGGGAAGCTACAGTTTCAAACTAGTTTTAAAGTATTAATCTACAGTCAAAATACTGTTTAAGGGGGCAACAGTACACTACTGTTCAAAAGTTTGGGATTTGTAAAAATGTTTCTATTTCTTTTGAAAGAAATTAAAGCTTTTATTAAGCAACGATGCATTAAATTGATCCAAAGTGTCAGTAAAGACATTTATAATGTAGCAAAAGATTTCTATTTCAAATAAACGCTGTTCTTTTGAACTTTGTTCATCAAAAAATCCTGAAAAATAACATGTATCACGGTTTCCACAAACAAATATTCGGTTTTCAACATTGATAATAATCAGAAATCAGCATATTAGAATGATTTCTGAAGATCATGTGACACTGCAGACTGGAGTAATGATGCTGAAAATTCAGCTGCGCATCACAGAAATAAATTACATTTTATAATATATTCACATAGAAAACAGTTATTTTAAATCACAATAATATTTAACAATATGACTGATTTTACTGTATTTTTGATCAAATAAATGCAGCCATGGTGAGTAAAAGAGTCATCTTTCAAAAACATCAAATACCGACCACAAACTTTCAAACTGTAGTGTAAGTAATTTTTTTGCAATATGTGGCAGGATTTATGTAAAGTCAAACAAATCTGAGAATCTGTTCTTGATCTGAACAAACAAGTTGACTAAAATGAATCAAAAGTGTGACTTGAAAAGCTACTCTATTTTGAAAACAATCTAATCTCAAATGTGGCTTAATTCCATTCAATCTGGTCTTTCTCTCTCAGATTCAGAGGTGTTGTCTGCGGTGGGCAGCACGTCTGGGGTCAGCATGCTGGACAGGGACCGTGATTCAGACGAATGGGAGAAGCAGTTACAGCGCGAGCTGCTTCTGATCCAGAGACAGCAGCAGATCCAGAAACAGCTGCTCATCTCCGAGTTCCAGAAACAGCATCAGAACCTGCTGAGACAACATCAGGCCCAGCTCGAGGAGCACATCAAGGTACAAGCCTTCATTCACGTGACCCCAGATGGAAGAACATCTACATATACAAGCAAATGCAGCACAGTCTGCAAATAAACATTCATTATGCGATTATCATACTGTTTGGAAACTATTACACAAACGTTGACACTAATGAGCAAAATCCCCAACCCTGACTGTCAAAATCAAATCAAGACGCTGTTCGTGTCAGATATTTGTAGACCGGATGAAGCTGATGAAGGTCATTGTGGTTTAAGGTCACTTGACTGACCTGCAGGAAACGATTTGGTTTAGTCTGAGCTGCTCAGTCAACGATTACTGTGGTTAATCTCATTACTTCAGTGAGTGTGAATGAGTGAGTGAGTGCGTGCAAAATAGAGAAATTATCATTTGTGTAGGATTTCCTTTGAAACAATTTTCGCCTAGAAACGGCTAGTAAATTTCACAAATTATTACAAAGAAATGGCAAGTAACACGCTGAATTAAATATGAAACTGTGAAGCGGTCATCACAAAATAAAGTAAATCACAAAAAATCTAAGCAATTGTCATCTGCGCTTAAACGCTGCAGTATTTCTCTCCAGTCTTTCAAATCATTTTCAGTGACTTATAAAGGATTAGTTTACCCCAAAATGTACATTTTCTGAAGTGTCCTCACTCTCAGGCAGTCCGAAATGTAGATGAGTTTGTTTCTTCATCAGATTTGGAGAAATGTAGCATTGCATCAGTGTCTCAGCAGTGGATGCTCTGCAGTGAATGGGTGCCGTCAGAATGAGAGTCCAAACAGCTGATAAAAACATCACAATAATCCACACCAATCCAGTCCATCAGTTAAAGCCAAAAGCTGCGTGTTTATAAGAAACAAATCCATCCTTAAGGCGCTTTAACTTTAAACTGTTGCTTCTGGCTAAAATATGAGTCCATAATAACGCTTCCTCCAGTGAAAAAGTATATCTCCTGTTGTTTCTCACATCAAAATCCACCCACATATTTGTTTAGAGATGTTTTGGCTTGTAAACGGTGCTTGATCTGTGCAGATTTCTCTCCTGATTCAGATGAGATTTCACTGGAGGAAGCGTTATTATGGACTCAGATTTTAGCCAAAAGCAGCGGGTTTAAAGTTAAAGCGCCTTAATGATGGATTTGTTTCTTACAAACACACAGCTTTTGGCTTTAACTGATGGACTGGAGTGCTGTGGATTACTTGTGGATTATTGTGATGTTTTTATCATCTGTTCGGACTCTCATTCTGACGGCACCCATTCACTGCAGAGCATCCAGTGGTGAGCAAGTGATGCAATGCTACATTTCTCCAAATCTGATGAAGAAACAAACTCACCTACATCTTGGACGACCTGAGGGTGAGCACATTTCAGCAAACTTTCATTTCTGGGTGAACTATTCGTTTAATCTGAATCTTTGAACTGTATGTTTGTGCTAACTTTTTTTTATTTATTTTTTAAATAAATACCACTTGCTGTCAAATTTTGTTATTCGATACGTGACATTTATACATAAAGTGTGCTTTAAATGCCCAAATCCTTCTTGGTGCCACTGTATATCGCCATTCCATCGGTCAGAGGCCACTTTGATCTCTAAATATCAACATCAGCCAGGGTTTTTTCCCCCTAAACTGTATGTTTCTGATGACCTTTTCTCTGTTCCAGCTCCAGCAGGCTCTGTTAACTCTCCGGCAGCAGCAGGAGGTGTTCGCTGAGGAGCGTCGGCTGGTGGCTGAGGAGGAGAGAGAGGAGGTGCAGGAGGACGAGAAGGAGCTTCACAGGAGGGAGACACAGAAACACCAGCACCACAGGAGGAAGGAGAGATCTAAAGAGAGTGAGAATACAACCGTTTCCAGACACCAGGCCTCAGCGACAGTCATTTCCAGTTTAGCATTTTCATAATTCCCCAAACTGGTCCTATAGTGTTATACCTGGTAATCATGATATTCAGTACATGTACACGTTTAGAAAAATAATGATAAGCTTGTATTTTTATGTCCGGGAACATTTCATATCTGACTTAATCCTGTCAACTGCTTCATTCACCACTAGGTGACGCTGTCTCTACTTTCTGAGCTGCACATGTAACTTAAGAAGAGTGAAACTATCAAAATCAAAATGCATTGAAATCATTAAATACAAATATTATTGCTTTTAAGTTATATTAACTTTTTCAGACAATTCAAATTAATTTTATTTGTGAAGCATACTTAGAAAAGAGATACAGCATACAGCAAATAAAATATTTTAAATGACTAGATTACGAAGAAGTATTATTAGGGTTTAAAACAAATACACTATACATAAATAAGAACAAATAGTAAAATATTTAATTTTATATTTAATATTTAAATATAAAATTATATTTAAGGATTTAAGACAATATTATATTTAAATATTTAAGTTTACATTTAAATAAAATTATATTTAGATATTAAAATATACAATTATATACAAATATGCTGGAGATAATGTCATTGAGATAGCATACAGGGGTTTAAAAAAAATGAAATACATAAACATGAATGAATATAAAAATATGTGAAATAAATATTACTTTTTTTACTTAATATTTAAATATAAAACTATAATTAACTATTATATTTAAATAATAAATTATATTTAAATAAAATCATATTCTGCCATAAAGATAGCATACAGAAAATTTAATTTTACATTAATAGATTGCAAGGAATATTATTAGGGTTAAAAAACCCAAACAAATATGAACAAATAGATTGAAAATATATTAAATAATTATTTAACTTTATATTTAATATTCAAATCGTATATTTAAATTGTATATTTAAATATATATATATTTAAATATAAATATAGATATTAAATACATACATTTTAGTACAGTTCCATTCCATTAATGATTTATTTCCATTACATATCAACTCTGTAAAAGAATCACATATAGGCTTATAGCTGAAATAAAATCATATTCTGCCATAAAGATAGCATACAGAAAATTTAATTTTACATTAATAGATTGCAAGGAATATTATTAGGGTTAAAAAACCCAAACAAATATGAACAAATAGATTGAAAATATATTAAATAATTATTTAACTTTAATATTCAAATTGTATATTTAAATTGTATATTTAAATATATATATATATTTAAATATAGATATTAAATATATTTTAGTACAGTTCCATTCCATTAATGATTTATTTCCATTACATATTAACTCTGTAAAAGAATCACATATAGGCTTATAGCTGATACTTTGGGGAAGTCGTGGCCTAATGGTTAGAGAGTCAGACTCATAACCCAAAGGTTGTGGGTTTGAGTCTCGATTGTAGGTGGGGGGGGAGTGAATGTACAGCACTCTCTTCCACCTTCAATACCACGACTGAGGTGTCCTTGAGCAAGACACCGAACCCAAACTGCTCCCCGGGCGTGTGTTCACTGCTGTGTGTGTGCACTTTGGATGGGATGGGATAAATGCAGAGCACTAATTCTCAGTATGGGTTACCATACTTGGCCACATGTCACGTCACTTACTTTAATCTGTCATAAAGTCTAACTCGGTTTCTAACTTGTTTTCTGCAGGTGCGATGGCGAGCACTGAAGTTCGTCAGAAGCTGCACGACTTTCTGATGAGTAAATCAGCTAAAGACCCGTCAGCGTCCGGCGCCGGTTACCCTCTCAACCGCTCCAAACTGTGGTACAGGTACATGCACCTCCATTCAAGAGCATTATCAGGCAGATTTGAGCATTTTAGACTTCTTTTCCATGTGAATGTTTAATCAAATAATAGGATTTGAGCAAATCAACAGCATTAACAGTGTGAGGTGGTGTCATCTCTCACAGCTCCGCCCACCCGGGTCCTGCAGAGCAGAGCTCGCCTCCTCTAGGAGAGACTCCGCCCACCTTCAAATACCCTCTGACCTCCGGCCTGGACTACAGAGAGGACTTCCCTCTCAGGAAGACTGGTAGGTCAGAGTTCAGAGGTCACGCCGTCCTATGATCCTTACAAAATCACTCTAATCTGAGACATGTTTGAAAGTCTTCAGGTTTGGGTCTTTGAGAAGGGCAGGGGGATGATGGGAAGGGTGTATGGTTCTTCTGTCTGAATATATAGAGAGGTCTTACACTGTAAACTATGTGTTTTGCATATTATTGCTTAAGGCTCAGTTTGATTAGTCCAGATTGAATTGCTCTGTTTCAAAAGCTAGTGAGCTGCCTTGCTGTTTACTTCCTGCATGTAGGGTGTTTGCCTAATTTTTTTCCAGTACAAATATCTAAAAATTCTTAAATCAACATGCATTTACTTGAGCAGCAAAATTATACTAGATATTAAGTCTTGTTTTCTATGAATAAATAAAAAAATATGATTTAAATAAAAAATAAATAAAAAAGAAAAGAAAAAAATCAGCAAATAAGGTCAGAAAAAATACGTAAAAGATTTTTCTAACCCCATTGGCAGATTTTTTTTTCTCATAAACTCGTAAAATTTTGAGTGAGTGAGTGAGTGATAAGACATGTGGCCAAGTATGGTGACCCATACTCGGAATTAGTGCTCTGCATTTACCCATCCAAAGTGCACACACACAGCAGTGAACACACACAAACCGTGAACACACACCCGGAGCAGTGGGCAGCCATTTATGCTGCGGCGCCCGGGGAGCAGTTGGGGGTTCGGTGCCTTGCTCAGTCGTGGTATTGAAGGTGGGAGAGAGCGCTGCACATTCACTCCCCCCACCTACAATCCCTGCCGGTACAAGACTCGAACCCACAACCTTTTGGGTTATGAGTCCGACTCTCTAACCATTAGGCCACGACTTCCCCAATTTTTGATGAATATTACAGAAAAAATACTTATATCTAAATATCTAATATCATACATCTAAGATAAAATAATCTTTAATTTTGCTTGCATTTGTACTGAAAACAAGACAAAAAATACTAAATGAGGAAAGCTTTTTTGCAGTTTGTTCACACATTTTTGTCTTGTTTTCCAGTACAAATATCTACATATTCTTAAATCAAGATACAATTACAAAAACACAATTGTTTTTCTTAAAGGGTTAGTTCACCCAAAAATGAAAATTAGACTGTGATTTACTCACCCTCAAGTCATCCTAGGTGCATATGACTTTCTTCTTTCAGATGAATCCAGTCGGAGTTATATTAAAAATTGTCTTTGATATTTCAAGCTGTTTAATGGCACTCAGCGGGTGTGGCATGCATCAGTCCAAAAGAAGTTAAATAAAAAGCGCCCTTCCATAAAAAAAAGTGTCTCACACGGCTCCAGGGGGGGTGAACAAAGGCCTCCTGTAGCGAATCGATGCATTTTTGTAAGAAAAATATCCATATTCAAAACGTAATAATCACTTTAATGTAGCTTGCGCCAACAGTCCTACACGGAAGCAGCTCCGGGCTGATGACGTATGAGGTCAGCACTGCGCATGCGCCGGTGAGTCTCGTGAAAACCAATGTTTGTTTACAGGAGCAAAAGAAGCAAAGTTTCCTTACTTTAGCAAAGGAAAACCAGTCTCCTCTTGGCTTATATCGAAATCCTCCGACATTCTTCTTTACAAATCCTCGTTTTGTACTTCTAATTAGTGATCTCTCCGCTGCGCTTCCGCGTTCATCACTTCTGAGCGGCGCATGCGCAGCTCTGACCTCATACGTCATCCGCCTGGAACTGCTTCCATTTACAACAGTGAGCGCGTGTGAGACACTTTTTTTATGGAAGGGAGCTTTTTATTTCACGTCTTTTGGACTGAAGCATGCCACACCCACTGAGTGAAATGATAGAGCTTGAAAGATCAAAGACAATTTTTAATATAACTCCGACTGGATTCGTCTGAAAGAAGAAAGTCATATACACCTAGGATGCCTCGGGGGTGAGTAAAACACAGCCTAATTTTCATTTTTGGGTGAACTAACCCTTTAACCTAATGGCAGATATTTTTCTTGTTTTAAGAGTAAACTTAATTAATTTTGATAAATTTTTCTGAAAATAAGACTTAATGCTAATGTGTTTGTAAAAAATAATACATTCTTTTTGCTAGTGTCTTGATTTACAAATGTTTAGATATTTATACTGGATTAAAAATAAATAATAAATAAGAAAATAAATTATTGTACACACATTTTTTGTCTTGTTTTCCAGTACAAATATCTAAACATTCTTAAATTAAGATACATTTACTTGAGATGCAAAATTAAGTAATTTCTTTCTGAAATCATATTTTGTGTTATTAATTAATTTGATATTAATATCAAAATTATGTGAGTTTAGGCTTAATAAAACCAGAACAAATATATGCCAGTGCGGCCAGAAAAATAAACTTAATTCAGAAGGAAACAAGATTAGTTTTCTGACCACACTGACAGATATTTTTCTTGTTTTAAGCTTAAACTCACTTCATTTTGATACTTTTGTTTCAGAAAACAAGACCTATCTTAAGTCATTTTCCTTCTCAAGTAACTTTATCTTAATTTTAGAATGTCTAGGCATTTGTAATGGATAACAAGACAACCATACTCTGTAAGAAAATAATTTTTGTAGTGAAAACATTGGGTCAATAATCCATTAAATCCATTAATCCAATAACCCAATGCTATTGAACTATTGTTCATTCATAATTTTTTAGTATTTAATAAAATATATTTTTAATCAATAATTCTTATTGGATATTTTCAGTTTGTTTGACCAAAAGACGGTATCTTAAAAGGCAGCATAATTCTGATGCTGTCTACATAGGGTGCTCACTAGGTTTTGGAACAGAGCCCAGTGACCTGCAGCCATGGCGATATGAGCTGATGTGTGTTCCTGCCGCTCGTGCAGAATATAACAGCATTAGACGAGTGTCACGGGGGCCTGGCGGAGGTGACACTGCCTAAATGTTTGCAGATGAATCTGGCCGATATTTAATCGCCGGGGTCAGGAGTCAACTGAGCATGTCACTGAGCGCAGTGGCCTGTGGGCACAGCTAAATGAGGCCGGTGAGTGACCCTGTTTAGCTTTCGGGTCAGCGCGGTGAGAATGACCACGCTTGTGCCCGCTGAACGCCCCGGGGCGGTCGGTGCAAAGGTTTGCAAACAATTAGCCAGCGGAGGGGTGCAGAGATGGACCGGTCCGGCTCTCTGGCCCCTAATCAGAGCGCAGAGGTTAACAGGAAGTAGGTGGCTTTGGGTCGCATGGGGACGAATCACCTCAGAGGAGCGTTCAGGATGGTCATTGTGAGCATTTGACCTTTGACTTTGTCTTTGGGATTGTTTTGCATGTTTTAATAGTCTGCTAGGTTACAATGTCTGAGCGTTTAGTTACGGTAATGTTCAATAGTTTGGAGTTGGTACGACTTTGTAATGTTTTCGAACATTATGCTTATCTAAGCTGCAGTTATTTCATCAAAACTACAGTTTAAGTTATTTTTTTGATTGTAATAAATAGCTTACACTACCATTCAAAAGTTTGGGGTTGGTAAGATTTTTTTAATGTTTTCGAAAGAAGTCTCTTCTGCTCACCAAGGCTGCATTTATTTGATCAAAATACAGTAAAAACGGTAATGTTGTGAAATATTATTACAGTTTAAAATAACCGTTTTCTATGGAAGCTTGTTAATTGCAACTTTATATCTCACAAAAACAACACAAGATATAAACTCAGATATAAAGTCAAATTTCTGAGTTTATATCTCGCAATTCTGACCTTTTCCTCAGAATTGTGCAATTACCTTTTTTATTCAAAAATTTTTTTTAATGTAATGGGCTTCTCTAGATCTCTATTGTGATATGTAATTTATTTCTGTGATGCACAGCTGAATTTCCAGCATCATTACTCCAGTCTTCAGTGTCACATGATCTTCAGAAATCATTCTAATATGCTGATTTGCTGCTCAAAAAACATTTCTGATTATTATTATAGACTGTTGAAAACAGTCGTGCTGTGATACATTTTATTTTTCAGGATTCTTTGATGCATAGAAAGTTCAAAAGAAGAGCATTTACTTGAAATAGAAATCTTTTGTAACATTTTAGAATGTCTTTACTGATACTTTTGACCAATTTAATGCATCCTTGCTGAATAAAAGCATTAATTTCTTTCAAAAAAGAAAAGTATCTTTCTGACCTCAAACTTTTGAAAGCTAGAGTACATAGTGATAGTATAAAAGTGACTTTGCAAACACCACAAAAAAAGTACATCTGAAAGCATGCTTGTTTTTCCAGGAACTTGTATTTGAGTCAACATGATCAGATATTTTCTGCATATTTCGGCGTCTCGTTGCGAGGCTGATTTCGAGATGAGTTTGCAGAGGAAGGTGATACGCCTGACTCGATGATAAGACTGAAACCCCTTTCAAAGGAAATGTAAAAATAGACCTGGTTTTCATCCAGGCACTGTTTTCACGGAATTTCCAGCAAGGCCAAAAAACCGGGTTGCTCAGCGGGCCGGAATACCGCAAACCTCCAGGGAGATTTTTCCTGAGCACAGGGGTCTGCGTGCGCCTCGGGCCGCACCCCGGGATGTCTTTTCATCCCCTCTCAATAACTCAGGTAACAGCTTTTAAAAAGAGGCCCGTCCGGTACAGTGGGGGGTACAAAAATACAAAAACAACAGGAACGACTCAAAGACTGGAAAAAAATTTGAAGAAAAACAGCCTGCTTTTTTGTCAATGGAATAATTTGTCTATGCTGACAAGACGGTCTGCAGGGCCACTTCCTGCGGCTCCGGTTTCAGACCGTAGATCAGAACGAGCAAAGACAGAGCAGAGGAGGCCAATTAAAACACAAAACACCTCTCTGTGCCTGAAGGGAATGCTTTTTAGGCTTTTTTACGAGTGCAATCATTCCCACAGTTTCGTACCTTAAGTTTCAAGATGTTTAAGCACTGCTCGCAAAACATGGAAAAACAATGTTTTTTTATGTATAAATTGAAATATCAAACACCATGTATGTAGACTTCTGGGTTGCCAGGTCTGCGTAACAAAACCAGCCCAATTGCTACTCAGAACTAGCCCAATCCCATTCTGGGAGAAATTGGTTACTAAAATCGCATTCCAAGGGGATACTCCTTGATCAAAATCATGTTCACAGCGACAACATGCTTCGCTTCAACCCATGGAAAAAACAAAACAAAACTAAAAACAACATCAACAGTATAAAAGTAGCCCAATTCTGAAAAACCACGGACTTGGCAACACTGTTTTGAGGCCTCATTCCCAGTAGATTCCCGCTCAGAATAGGGGTGGCGGGTGATCATGAAGGTAACGTTTGTTCTTTGCCCCGGTCAGGACCTTCACGGCAGAATGATTGACAGGTGTGAAGGGGGGCGGGACGCTGAGTGCTGGTGATGTGCAGGCGACAGGTCTGTTTGTGTAAGGAAAGAGCACAGCGGGAGAGACACTCCAATACTGCTAGTGCAAGCATCACTGTTACTTAAAACTAGTGATTTGAACGAAACCTTAATGCTAAGTATTGTTGAGCGTGTGCATCAGTATGCAGAGTTTGTGCTCTAGGCATGAACGATTCTTTAAATCATGTGTGTTGCATGCATTTCACCTGCTGGATCATAAACAGGTGGAAAATGCCACATTGATGCCATATAGTAATATATATATCTTCAGATATATTTTAAATATATTTTGAAATATACAAAAAAGGCCAATATACATCACAAATATAAATGCTAAAATATATACTTTTGATAAATTTATTTATATATATTTTTTTGAGATTTTTTTTTAAATTGTGAAAATATTTAATTGTCCAAATTGTATTTTAAACAAATACATTTTGCATTCACCCAAAATGTATTTTTAAGATTGGAATATATTTTGGCATTAAATGAAATATATATATATATATATATATATTTTTTTTTTATTATTTTTATTTTTTTGTGTGCCATATATATGGGAAAAAGGTAACTGAGCCTAGACACTAGACACACCAGTAAGCATCCACCTAGCAACCACCCAGAATACCCTAGCAACCACACAGCAATGCAGTAAAAACTATTTAGAACACTTTAGCAGCTGCATAGCAACGCCCTCACAACCATCTAGAACAACACAGTAACCTCACAGCATCATGCTGTAAACCATGCAGAACACCTTAGCAACTGCATAGAAACCACACAGAACATTGTAGCATCCACCCTGAAATGTGCTAAAAACTACTCAAGGTAACTACCTTAGCAACTCCATAGCAACACCCTGGCAACCATCAAGAACACCATAGTAACTTTACAGCAACATGTAAAACTTTCACAACACTTTAGCAACTACCTAGGGATGTGCTAAAAAAAACTACTCAAGAACGCCACATAGCAACACTCTGGCAACCCTTCTACATCAAGGCCGTAAGTTAAACACTCAAATGTTTATGAAACATTAAATAAATATATTTTTACTACAGTGAAATTGTTAACTTGGTATTAGACACTTCTGTCTTCTAAAATAAATGATCAATTAAAAACTCGGTCTGATGCAGATCCCGTATTGATCTGATTTTACTGACTGCTGGTAACCCCAATCTTGCAGTCTGACAACACTTCAGAGGAGCTGAAGCTGTAAGTCACCTCAGATAAGAAGCATGTGGCAAGGTCGGCGTTGTGTAGGCCTACATATGGAACCGGTCAGCAGCAACTAAAAAAAGCCTGGCAGGTGCACGAGAGATTTCGGTGGATGGAGCCGCCGTGTACCTCCGTCCCACAGGTGTTTGTTTAAAGAAGTTTGCTGAAATTGCCCTTTAATGACGTTACCCAACGTAAACATGCCGACCGCTCTGCGTATTTTCCCTACGCATTAAAAACGTGTAAATCCTTCCCGCTAATTGCTGGGCAAATATTTTTGCGGTATTTTTCAAATAGCTCTTATTCATCATGTGTCAGAGAGACTCAATTACAGTATTTCACCATTGCTGTAATCTCGTCCAAGTGCTCCTGAAACTCAAAGCATCCTTTTCATTACGATCGGCCTTTTTTGTCAGCCGTCTTCAGTTTTATTAATCTACTATGTGGGATACTTTAATCACTTGTAACATTTTTTCTGGCTTAACAGCCAAAAAACTGCATGTTGGGTTTTTCCCAAACGAGCCTGAAGGGTTACAGTGGTGGTAAAAACGTCCTTATCCTTGAACTATATGCATGATTGTGAAGTCAAACACATCCAAAAGGATTCACATTCAAGTTTTTGTTTTATTATAAATGCAATAATATGTAATATCAGTTTTATTTAATTTGTATTATTTTACTATACATTTTATTTTAAAGTTATCTTTTAGGGTAGGATTTTATTTTTTAATTACTCATAAACTTTCTTTTGTCAACAGGTACCCATCTTTTAGGGGTAGGAATGGATGCAGTCATTTTATTTTATTATAAATACAATTATATTTTATTTTAAGATTTTGTTATTTTTTATAGATAATTTTCTTGTATATTATTATAAATACAATTATATTACATTTTATTTTTAATTAATTTTTATTTTATTATTTTGTTATACATTTTTATTTTATTTTAAAGTTATCTTTTATTTCGCGATTTTGTTATTTTTTATAGATTATTTTCTTGTATATTATTATAAATACAAGTGTATTACTATTTATTTTAAATTAATTTTAAGTTTATTTTATTTTTCAAGTTATTTTTTATATTATTATAAATACAATTATATTACATTTCAAAGTTTTATTTTGTTATAGTTTATCTTATTTTATTTTAAAGTTATACATTTTTTAATAAATGCAATTATATTTCAAATTTATTTTAGTTTTGAAATACATTTTTATTTTCTTTTATTTTAAATACAATTACATTTAATTCCAATTTTAGTTATAAAATTATTCATATATTTTTTTACCACTTTAGTATATTCTCATGAATTAGTCTTGGCAGTGAAGTGTGTGTGTGTGCGTGTGTTTATTTTCATACTCTTCATCTCCTTTCATCTCTGCTCTCAGCCCACAGTGTGTTGTAATCACGTTGGGCTCCTGATGTGTGTATGTTTGATGCACACTCAGCGGTCAGACCGGCGGTAGGTGGCGTCAATCGGGCGGCTGGCTTTCCTTCCCAGCCGGAGTAAAATCCAGGGAATTTTGGGACTTCACAGGTCACAGTGGGACAAAAAAAGGAGGATTTCCCCTTATTTAAAGCCAAATCTCTCTCTCTTTCGCTCTTGCTCTCTCTGTTGGTGCCGATATCTCAGTGTTGGTTTAAACACGGCTACCGTGGAGGTTTGTGGTTGGCAGGCTGGCAGGTCCTGGACTCCTACAGCCAGTGGAGATGCTTTTAATGTCCTCCAGATGAACGGTGGTATTGATCTTCCACTTCTTACCTCATTACAGCTGCTAGATATCCCAGAATTCCTCAGTGCGGCTGGACTGCAGCCACACATTCACTCAGCAGGTTCTGTGAGCTGCCTGTTAGAACACTTTTATGAGTGTATATGTGTGCTGAGGACTCTATTTTTATTGTTTTATTTTTTCATTATTTTCAAAATTTTAGATTTTCTATCTATATTTGAGAAGACATAAACAAGGAAAATAGTAGAAAATGTGTATCAAGATTTTAGAGTAATTTTGAATTGTCTTAGAATTGAACTGAATTGTCCCCGTCTGCAGTTTTATTTTATTTTATTTTTGTTGTTGTTATTTTATTCCATTTTTGTCTTGTTTTCCAGTTCAAATATCTAAACATTCCTAAATCAAGATACATTTTGAGAATCAAAATGACTTAAGATATTAAGATTAATTGTTTTTTAAATTAAGTGAATTTTTACTTTTAAAAAATTCTCTTTGAATTAAGTTTATTTTTCTTACCCCATTGGAAGCATAAATTAATTTAATTTCAATGAGCTTTTACAGAAAACAAGACTTAATATGTAATATGTCTTGTTTTAGGAATGTTTATGTATTTGAACTGGAAAACAAGACAAAGACACTGAGTGAGAAATACGTTTTTTGCAGTGTGTAATGACGATTTATACAGTATAAACAGCAAATGAGATGTACACAAAATTACTGAAATGAAGTGATGCTGAATTGAAATTTTACTATTGTAAAAATTTATAAATAAATTGTTTATTATACACCGAGAACAGTATAAATAGATGTTAAAACTAAATGATAATCTCAAAATAGCCAAATATCAGATAATTAATCAAAATAATGACTAACCTAATCAGTTTTGTCTCTCCTCTCAGCGTCTGAGCCCAATCTGAAGGTGCGGTCCAGACTCAAGCAGAAGGTTTCTGAGAGACGAAGCGGACCGATACGCCGCAGAGACGGCAGCATCCTCGTTACGCCGCCGAAAAAACGAACTCTCGAGCTAACAGGTGAGCAAACGACCATCTACCTGAAACACAGATAAACAGCCCTTATTTCAGAAAACACAGATCTGCAGCAAACTACTGTATGTGAAGAGATAAAATCTTAGCTAATCAAATCATATTTGATGTTTGAGACACAGACCAATGAGCTTTAACTGTGGGTGGAGTTCACAGTCAGTATTAGAGCTGACCGCTGTAGTCTCTTTAAGCACTTCCTGTTCTCCTCCCCTGTAGATTCTTCAGCCAATGAGAGCCCTGCAGGTTCTGGACCGAGCTCACCCATTGGCTTGTGCAACAATGAGAACGGCGGCGCGTCATACCGGTCCAGCACCACTCAAATCGAGGTACCAAATACGCTCATCTCTCTTCTACGTTTAAACAATTTAAGGGGTTATATACAGTATATGCATTTTATTTTTTTATAATGTTTTTTTTATTAAAAACTAATTGTCATTTAAAATCTTTACCAATATTTACCACTATCCTTCAAACAACTAGGTTTTACCCATTTGTCAGCAAGAAATTCTAATAATTTAAAATAGAATAAAATGTAGTATGATCACTGATTTATATACAGTATTTTAATAAGTAAAGGTCAGAATAAGTACATTGTTTTGTTTTTACATGAGCAATATCACACCAGTAGCAGTGCGACATGGCTGTATATATCGGCACGGCTGTGATTCGGCCGTATGCACGAGGCCGCAGGTAATCACAGCGTGCTGATATACAGCCATAACGCACTGCTACTTGTGTGATATTGCGTTTATACAATAGTTTGATGCCACGAGAGTGTAAATACATAAGAAATAACAATGGAGTGTCTTTAAAAACTTTCTTTTGTGCAGAACTACTTCCTTCCACCACGGATTTAAATCTCAGTTTGACAGTTTAACAGCTGAGCTCAAGATCGTTACTAATTCGTGAACGTTACTTTAGAACTTTAGTAACGAAGGAACGTTGAGTTGCGTCATTAAAAGTTTATTGTATTATGTAGAGTCGAGTACTATGAGAGAGAGACTGACTGAGCGAGTGTGATTACCTGCATCTGATACAGCATTCATTTTTCAGCTCAATCTCATATTCAGAATAAAACATTAGTTTGAATGTCCGCTGAGGAAAGCGATATCTTTGTCGTACTGTCCTTTCATCTGTTAAGGGTGATTTCCGATGACAGTGCTGCTCACTGCAGTTTTATCTGCATCTTACAAGCTGTTGTTGAAAGTAAGCACTTCCTTGTTCACCACCCTGTTTCAGTCTCTTTCAATAGAAAAGTCTTTACTGCGGACTCACTCAGAAAAACAGTCACCTGTCGCCATCTAATGGCAGAACAATGTAACTAAAATCACCATCACGAACACACGCACACGCAATTTAGTTTCCAATACTAAATACTACTATTAAATGCTATTATTTATATACAATATTTTTTTATAATAATTTTTAATAAACAACAGCAACAACAGCCATCATTAAAGTTGCTAGACAATTCAGTCAAAAGTACAAAGGCTGCGCTCTGATATACAGCATTGAAGTTTCATAAAATATAACGTTAAGAGATTTTGCCCTCAGCCAAAACGATTTGCTCTGGAACAAATAATAGATTAATGAGTCCAAAGACTGCCCTTGAGATTTACCCAAAACGAATTATATCTCATGTTTAACCACTATAGAGACATCAGAGCCAGCGGCTCTCGCAGGGTTCATGAGCGCTGAACGCCGCTGACGCCCTGGAGCTCACATCTTGAAAACATCGAAGCAAATTTTCAAATATACGTTATCTTTATTAACAAACCGCATATTAGTCTAAACAAGCACATTCTCACCTAAAAATAAACTTAAATCTACATTCCGTGACACAAAAACAGTATTTTTATTAAATTATAGTGGATTTGGGCGTCCGCCATGATTCTCACTGTGAGAAATACCGCAAGCGGAGCGATACAAACGGTGAAACGGTTGGAGTTCTGTTATCACTAGAATATCGCACTCCTGGAAAAGGCTCTCAGCCAATCAAATTCAAGGACCAGAAAGATGGCTGATTGATGATGGAACATTATTTCACCCATATTTTGACATTTTATTTTCACAAAAGTTAGTTGAAACATTAAAGCAGACACTTTTCTTGCATTTAATAGGCTTTCTATGTGTATACATTTTTTTCTTTTGTAAACTTAATTATATATATATATATAATGCTCATATATACACAAAAATTAAATGAGCGATTTTTGCCATTGTACAAAACTTCTATATAGCTTATTTTATGACTAACCATTTCACATGAGAAATGACTAACTTGTGGGCTACAAGTATTAATAAAAATGTCTGAATGTCATGACATTGGATTACAAAATCTTAAAGCAAGTGACAATTCAGCAAACAAGTATTGCATAAGCATTTCTCAGAACTCACTTGTTTTTCTGAGCCATTTTTGCAGTGGCTTTTAATGAACTGTTTTTTGTGAAATATTTTGCTTGTAAAGTGGGTTTGTGCTATTCTTCAAAATAAATGTCCTCTTTTAACAAACTCTCTTTAAGCAGACAGGTTAGTAGCCTTCAGCACATAAAGGCAGCTGTGGAACAGAGTTTCATACACTTGTGTGCAGTTTTGAACCTTTGATTGCATTCTTGAGAACTGAAGCATACAGCTCACAAAACTGGAACTAAATAAAATGGTCATGGTCCCACGTCTCATTACTCTTATCAGACTATGGGGTGAAGGAGTCGGGACCCCAATGATCCATTGTTTGGAGCTGAGAGTACACAGACCCCGTCCCAGGGCGCTCGTACCATCAGCCTGACAAACAAACACTGCATTTAAAATCACATTAGAACATCATTGCAGCATGTGGAAGAGTTAGATGGAGTTTGAAGTGTGTGTGTGTGTGTGTGTGTGTGTGTGTGTGCGCGTGTGTGTGTGTGTGTGTGTGTGCGTGCGTGTGTACGGCGGTGCTGTGCTGAACTAACTGTGACAGCTCTTTTCCGCTGTGGTTTTGGCTGTGCTGGTGGTTGTGGAAGGGGGTGAGGGGCTCTGGGATGGTGAGGTTTGTTTCTCCTGTGAAGTTCTGCCCAAGCATTTCCTCACGGGCCATGGGCCAGAACTCACCTCTCCTCTCCTCCTGTTGGCACACGGCCGACTGAGTTCATCCTTACAGCCCTACAGCCAGTCGTGTGTGTGAGCGTGAAACTTCCCTGCTTCATGAGCTTCAAAACTATGACCTAAAGATGACCTCATGTCATTAACACTCACACCATTAACTGATACTGACTGACATGGTGCATCATAACTACCTAAAACTCTCTAGAAACCACCTAAAATCTACATTCAGAACACTCTAGCACTCTAGCACTCTAGCAACCATTCAGAACTGAACTGCAACACAATAGAAAACCACTGACAACACCGTAGCAGCCACATAGAACACTGTAAGAGCTACCTGGCAACACCCTAGCAACCACTAAAGAACATTCAGAACACTCTAGCAAACACCCAGAACTACACAGCAACGCACAAAAACCATTCACAACATCCTAGCAGCCAATAGAACACTATAACAACCACCTGGCAACACTCTAGCAACCACGTA